CAATGCGCAACATGGCTCAACCGCCACCCTCCAATACTCCAGATTAAAAAGAAAAGTCCGGAGAACAAATAAGGAAACGTCCCCGTTCGCCCCGTCCACACCCGCCACACCGCCGAGCAAATTGATCTATCTCGTCGTCTTCAATATGTATCAAACAATTGGCGTCTCGCTCTAAGCCACCCACAATAGGGGAGCCGTCCTTGTCGCGCACCTGTGCTCACCTGTGCCCCCTCCCCCTGGCTCTCGTTGCACCAATGGGGGACGAGATACGACATTGTCGTCCGTCTCAGGAGTCTCGAGACCCGATCTCGGGAGCGCACTCTGCATTCAGCCGGTCACTTCTTTGATGTTCGCACACATTCACAGTTGATGCATCTTACGTTGGTTGATCTTCAGTTCAGTGGCGTTCGTGTCGGTGACCATTTGGGGGGTGTTTGAGTGACCCAACTTGATACTGAGACTGTTTTTGTGCACCACGCTCTACTGGGAGAACTATGGATTATAGTTTCGCGGACATCAGGTAGGTGCTCACTTGTTTAAAAACATGTTTTTTTTTGCATGGGAGGGCTGATTTTTGTCTGGGTCCCAAGCCGCTATAAGCACAGCAAGTCAATTTGCAGTAAAGCTATTGAAAATCATAATTCTCTAAGATTGCCAACCTTGAGCCTTGCACAAAGACACCTTTGCCAGGTTCATTTGTGGCTTTGCCTGCAGTTTTACTGGGAATTTTTCGGGGAAACTTAAGGGCTGCTGAAGTGCACTTTTGACTATTCTGGCCACTTCTGCAGTCTTCACATATTCCGAAACTGCCATTGAAGAACCGTAAAGAAAATCTCGCCTCTGATCAACTTTCCAGACAAGGTGAGAGGCACTTCCATCCAACTATTATCGGAAAAAAGTCAACAGCTACTTGAATTGATAAAAGCACCAGCAAATGAGTGGTTTAGGTGAACAAATCCAGACTCCTTCTGGTTAAATTCGCCTTCTGGTTAAATTCAGTGCCTACTTGTTTACCCAGCGGAGTTTTTAGCGACATTATAAACATTCCCCGTCCACTAACCACTAGATATTATTATTATTGATAGAAAATGCCTGGTTTATCTCGCTTCTGGCAGAGCAAATGCACGGGAAAAAAATCAAATAAATATTCCTAATTCTGAACGTGTTCGTACACACTGTCAAGGCTATTAAGGCAAATTTGGTGCAATCGCGATCGATGAAGGTGCATCGAGAAAATCAAATCTCCTTGCACTTCCTGCTGAGGGCGCCGCGATAAGATAACGCAGCCAGATGAAACGTTGATTGGTGCAGTCGGTCCCTGTCCAAACTTCCAGCCGAAGAAGTTGCAGTTCGAATCCCATGCGGGGGTGCCACTGTTTGCTGCCACCCCCCCAAATTCAATTTGAGTAATTCGCTCTAATATTTGCTCTTACACGCGTGTAGATGGGAAGGTAACGACCGAACAATCAGTCTCCATAACCCCCAAGGGGTTGATGGCGGTTGCCATGGTAATTAGAACGTAAACACGGAGGAGGAGGGTGGAGGCACCCTCCTCCCACAGCAACCCCAGCCGAAGGGGCGATTAATGCAGATGGGGTGGACGCACGTCGAATTATCTGCTCGTTATCTGGATTGATCCGAAGGGGGCGCACCAACACCTGTGTGGATTTGTACGTTGAAGCAGGAAAAATTGTGTAATTTCCCCACTGGTGGTAGAGCGATATTTGCCGTTGGATTTCTATAGAAAAAGCTCTGTTATTGCGTGCTTCTTCAATGTGTACATTCAGGCAAAATTTTGACGGAAACATTGTTGGAAATCCACGGTTTGGTAAAATTGCTTCTTGACGTTTCGCAAGCACGAGTGGCTTGCATCTTCAGAAGTGGTTTGCTTGAACGCTTACACTGTTCTCATCAGAACCCGCGTTCAGTTCTTTCGCAGAACTGATGAATTCTACCGAACAACGGCCAAAAAACCCGAAAAACCCATTAGTTTCAGTTTTTCCAATAGTTGCGACACTTCTGAATCGATGACAAATTTCCCAAATTCGAAAAAATTGTCGAAATTTGCGATTTTTCTTTACAAAAACTGAATATTATGCAGCTTTAGTAGAAATGCAGGCAAAAAACGTAGCTACTAGAATGCAGGGAACACATTGGGGCGTTTAGGCAGAAGAACTGTTCTGACTTGCAAAACTTTATGATGACAAATTTCCCAAATTCAAAAAAGTTGCCAAAATTTGCGATTTTTCGTTAAAGAAACTGAATATTATGCGCCTTCAGTAGAAATTCAGGGAGAAATCTTAGCGGCCCGAATGCAGGGACCTGAACTTCTGAAAGGATGGCAGATTTCCAAACTTAGCCAAAATTTGCGCTTTCTCCTTCGAAAAGCAAAGTACTTCCTAAATCGCCTAAAATTGCCCTTATAAATACCTACTGAACTTTGCGACAATTTAAATTTTCGACTGCCCACTACGCCTTCAAACTGTTTAAGGCATGAAAAAGGTGGCAAATTGGGCAAATGAATGTCAAACAAAAATCGACAAGTCACCATCTAAATGAACCGACATCGAATTTCCCATAATCATATCAGATGCTCTTTTTCGCATGGTCTGGGCCTTTCATCCCCCTCGTTAATATCTTTGTGTCGAAAGTCAATAGGTAACAATCTGTACCAGCCGTTCGGGCTTCGAACATCTCATCAAAAGAGCCCCATTCATCACCTAGATTGGATTCGCCACAAAGCCGTATACGAGGTGAATGAGGTGTGTTTGCTTTGGCGCCCCCTTATTATTTGGTCGGAAAATGAGGGACTGCGGGAAAATGCTGACGGTCGCAATTAATGAGCTTTCCATCGACATCCTGTCCGGGAACTAATCCATTCGCTGTCGTCGATTGGCGAAAATCTGCATTTTTTCTTCGCTGCACACTGCCAATGTGACCCTTTTCGTCATATAATCCGCCTAAAGCACACATCGATCGCTCTAATCAGCTCGTTACTTAACGGAGAAAAATCCGATTATCGAGTGCAATCGGTTTCCCAGAATCCGAAATTCAGCAAACAATTTGTTTTTTCCGAGCTCCGGCCCAAGATCAGCCGGCAAATATTTGCCTTACAGATAAGATATTAAGCAAAAGCACCTTTAATTGCCATCCGAACATATCTCAAGTGGGGATCCCCCTTGGAAAAAGTCGAAAATCGAATTGAAGCGATATCTAATCTTGCTGATGGATCAGATGTGACTCAGAACTTGCCAAGTGAAACACTCAGAAATTCAATTGTGGGCAAGAAACCCTGCACAGCCATCCAGAAGGAGACTCGATGGAGTCTCACAGCACCTGGATGATCATCGATTTCCACTGCGACAAAGCCAGCAGGAAGCAGAAAAAACGGGCAAAACCATTGACGGACACCACTGAGTTGTCTGTGTATGATCTGTCGCCATGACGACTCAGGCACAGATCTAGAAAATCAATACGGGCGTCCGTAAGGCGACGGGCGGCACTGGTGCCGCCATCTTGCTCCTGCTCTCAGGAGATCCTGCTGATGGGCCACACCCACGGGCGGCCCCAACTTTTTTCTCCAGTGTTTCACCATCCGTAAAATTTCCCCAAATGCAGACAACTTCGTCTCCAAGCAAAGTCGATACAATCTTGCCAGCAGTTCGTTCACATTGGGGGAATTTTCAATGGGATCGCTACCTGAACCGCCGCCACTGGAAATCCATATCAGCCCCTCCTCCGATCGCCTGCGTGTTCCAGCAGCTCAGCCAGAACGCTAACAGGATTCCTGCATGCCATGAAACTGGATATTTCGCCGGGAACAACACAGAATAATCCCATTTACGCGGATCAAACATGCAGTTCTTCCACTTCTTCGGCTAATCTGTCAGTTTGCAATTTACTCAACTGCTTTTCGACTGAAATTCTTGCTGATCTACTGGAAGAATGTTGCTTTGAAGCTACAGAACAAATTTGGAAAATAGCCTGGATCCGTGATGGAAAGTTGGCGCGTCCAAGCAGCCTCTAGATTTGCATTATCTTTCGCATGCCGGGCGAGAATCAATTACCTTGCGCGAAACAAAAGCGATGCATATTTTCTAAAAAGAGCACGTTTTCGGTCTAACGAACATGTTTTCATCTCCGAACCAAGAAAGCGTAGATGGCACAACAATTCGCGTCGGTTTTCGGTCGAATGTGAACGAGCCACTCTTTCATCTAATTGGACATCCATCGGCTGAACTGGGACGACGTTTTTTTCTTGTTGATTTCACAAAAACGACGGATTTTTGGAGCGTGCACCATCGGAATCGGGCATTATTAGTTGGAAACTCACTGCCATCTTCAGTCATCAATGGAAGGAAAAGTCCACATCAAAGATCATCATCATAAAGCTTCTAAGAGTTCCAGATATTTTGGTCCTGCTAAATTCCGTTGAAAATATTGACTGGAATTTCCAGTTCACAATTATTATTTGACKACCAAAAACGCTTRTTTTTTATTAARCATTTCCGCAGCAGCAAATGTCTCCTCGTCGGTGAAAAAGTTAAAAAAATCCAATCGGTCCTTTCGTTTTCTTCCTCGCTTAGGTCTTGTACMGGTAAAGACTTGTAAGGGTTTACGTTTAAGTTTTTTTGAAAATTTTCCAAAAAATCTCCAAAATGTGATTGCGCCCACTTTTGCGGCATTTGGAAGGAAAAGAGCTGTTCAGTGGCGTAACAATCGCTTCGCCAGCTCGGCCACTCGAGATATAAATT